CACTGCCACACTGAGAGCAGGGTGCTTTGTGTGAGGCAGCTCATTCTGGCTGAGATGCACTCGTTCAAAAAGCATATTCACATGGAATCAAAAGAGAGTAAGGAACTCCAAACTTAGCCTCCAGTCTAGCACATGGTGACTGTTTAATACACAAACTGGAACTAAACCACCAGTGTCTTATTGAAATTCTTTCCCATGAAGAGCATCTCTCTTCATGGACCTCTTTTTCTTCTTTTAGAAAATTGATTTTTTTAATTTTACAAGATCTTTTAAGCAGTTTCTTCTATTACTTTCAACATAAATTTAAGACTGTCTTAATAAAATGAATGTGCTAGAAAAAAAACAGCCTTTGATTCACATTACCTAATCTAAGAAACCAGATTAGTTTAAATTGGATTCCATTCTGACTTATCTATAAAATATTTTAAAAATAGAACAAAAAGAGAAGAATTTAAAATGTTTCCCAAATAAAATTCATCCTGGCAGTCATTCAAACAGAGTAAATATTTTGATACAATTTGCAGAAACAGCATTAGGTAATATTTTATGGTGCTCATTAAGCTGTCATGTTCTAAATCACAACCGACATCAAATGATTTCTTCCCTTCTCTGCTATTTAAGTTTGGCAAATATGCACTGTATAAAAGGTGTCAAGTAAAATTGCCACAGGATATACTGGAAATCCCTGCACCAGCTGCATACTCAAGCATAAAGGAAGTGTCTTTCTGATCCTACAGCCTGATAATACTGGAGTTGCTGGAGGGTTACAGCAGTCTTTGAAAATAAAGCTTCATTACACTGGCATGGAGAGGTGCAGTTTAATCCTCTTTGGAAGCTGGTCCTGCAATCCTACATTTTAGAAAATTGCTGAAAGCCATTGTGCTTTTGATGGGAATTGGTCATTAACAGTACAGGTGCAGACCATGCAAGAGACAGTGTCAGCACAATCTCTTCCCATATTTTCTACTTCTCAGGAATTCCATCTAATAATGACAGAAGCAGGTTTTAACAGCACCTTTTTGCCACAGATTAAGTTGTTGCTTATTTGTAGATGTAAGACAGACACTTTCTTCTTTAGGACTTCAATTCCTCTGCATGTTAAAAGAGAGAAAAAATATACTTTCTTCCCATTGCTGAAAAGGAACCTTACTTTACTACAGACCCTTTCTCATTTGTATAAACTTTGGATATTTAACAGAATTTTTGTGCTGTTGGTATAAAACACAAATTTAATAAAGCATTTAAGCCAGATTGTATCAAGAAACGTGTTTACTGATTTTAGTATATATTTAATAAGTACAGCATATATTATATGAGACCTTGAAATCATAAGGGTACTAAATACTCCTCACACAGTAAATAAACCCCAAATAACAAAATTGTACTAATATTTATAATGAATACATCCTTGCCTGACCCCAGTGAGATTTTACCAACAATACATTTCATGTTTAACTAAGCCAATGCATTCTTCCAATCTCAATACCATCAATACTGATAACAAAATGTATTTTCTGCAATTCTGTGAAACAGATGTCCAAAAAAAAGGAAAACAATAAATGAAAACCAAGAAAAAATAGCTAGAAGGTTTTTCAAATGTTTATTCAACTTAAATTTTGCATTACTGTTCTATGGTTTCTTTTCCTTGTGGTGTTTTGTTTGGAGTTTTGGTTTGGGTGTTTTGGGTTTTTTTAAAGCTGAAATTTCTTTTAGTAGAACTGAGGGGAGAAATTTATTTAGCTACTTCAAATTTTCCAAGTGAGGGACACCATTTTTTTTTCCAGTTGCTTTTTTACCTAAGACAGTCTTTAGGGTGAAATCCTTTCTTATGGCCACATGGTGGTAGCACTACAGGGTCTTTCACCTGGACACTCAAAGAAATCACAACTGTTAGGAACAGGACTGTGCAGTTCGAAAGAACAAGTTTTACACTCAAGAACATTTTGTTTCTTTTCAAGTAAACTGTAGCGTTTTCTAAGAGCATAGGACATCATATAAGAAAAAGAAAACTGTATTATAATGTAACAAAAATAGTTGAGTTCTGGTGAGAAAAAAGCCAATGACCAAGGTAATATCAAAACATGTGTCCACAAGAGATACCTCTACATAAATTGCAAAAGATTGCTTGCTACTGCAATTTTTTTGTAAATTCAGGTAAATTTTAGAAATTCAAATTCCCAGAAACACAATGAATTGGAAAAAGTTGGCAAGAATTATTTAAATTATTTGCTTTCTTATTTAATTATTTTTATTTAGAGGACTAGGTCTTATAAGCAGCATTTAAACACTGAAGTAGTCTGAGAAAAAAATCAGGTTTCTGGTCTGAACTGAGGAAAATAGGGATTTGAATCAGTCACCTACATCTCAAATGAATGCTTTAAGTCATTTAAACATAGAGTAGAAACACTACTATATCCACTGCCACTACATCCTCAATGTTGTAAATGCTGTCTCTACTATTTTGGGAGCTACCGCCTTTAGTACCAAATTTAACTTCATTAAAAATATGCAGGCTATTAAATTCTATCTCTCCATTCCAATTCAAAAGCAGTCAGAAGGAAGTATAAGTTTTATAGGGATCTCTTTGTTTTTATCATTATAAAAGACAGCGAAAATATAACTGGCCAAGATCTTCTCAGCCCCAGGCTTATGCTCCCAGCATTCAGTGGACAATTGACTCTAAGGCACCTGCTCCAACACGAGTTTTCCTGGGCCTCATCTTCCCCTGTACCTCTGCAATGTGTATCACAAGGAAAGGTGTAAGTTACTGAGGGTAAGGTGAGAGCAAGGAAGAAGTGGACAGATGCTTGTTTGCCTGTGAGGTTTTTAAGGATCTTTCATTCCTTTCCCCCAGTTTGTCTTGCCATTTCAGTATTCCAGACCAGCATGACACCACACAAGGAAACAGCGAGTGGTGGGTTCAGCATTCACCAGGTGAGTGAATCACAGTTAGGAATTTGAAGGTAAACACAAAGGTAAAGCTGCCCCCTCCCCAAACCTGGGAAGAATTGTGCAAGCAAACATGGGTCAAGGCAAAGAAGCTGCAGTGGAAGGAAGAAAGGGACATGAGAGCATGGAGCCTTGCTATGAATCATGCAAGGAGGCAGTTCAGAGCCATGAGCCAAAATTGGAGAGAAAGCCAACAGAGACTCATGGTGGGTGTCTGCTGTGGGCAGAGTGATCAGGAAGAGAGAGTGGATGAAACCATATTCAAACAACCAGAAGCCACCTCAGGATTGCAGGCCTTGATTGCCACAGGGCACTTCAAATGTCCTGATGTGTGCTCAAGCAGGAACAAACATGGAGAGGAGCAAGCAATCAGAGCGAGTGCCCTGATGACATTTTCTCACCAGAGCTGCCAGACAACCCAAGTAGGACAGGTTTTCTGCTGGACGTTACACACAGGCCGATAAGAACTGCTTGGGAATGTGACAGCTGATGTCTGTCTCAGCTGCAGAGACCACCAATGAGAGCTTCCATGCTGAAGGAAAGTAAGAAAGGAAAGTGGTAGAGGACAGATCTAGGCTTCAGGGCAGTAGACTTTGGGTTATTCAGGGCAGAGAAGCTGTCCTGACATGAAAAAGTACCCAGAAGACATCAAAGATCTGTAGGAAAAAAATCCTCAATGCTTCATGAGGGTCTTTCTTAACGTGAAGAATGAGCAGGCCTGGCAGAAGGCTGGTGCAGCTGAACTGGGAGTTTTGGTCTGAACTTGACCACAAAACCAAACGAATGGTCAGAGATTGAGACTAATATAGAAACACTCCTCAGGCATACAAGAATGGGATTGGGAAAGGCAAAACTAATCTCAGTTTGAAATTAGCAAGTGATACACACAGCAACAAGGGCTTTATCACTACAGTAGCAGCAACAGACTAAGAAAATCTCTGCCTGCTGCCAGATGGGATGGGCATAAAGAACTCACTTCAATCTGAGACATCAAATGCATTTCCTATGAAAGTCACAGACCTGTCAAAAAAAGAAGCTAAGTATAAAAACACTATGATAAAATGTTATCATGGACTTGCACACAAACATCTGATTATTTCTGTTAAATCTCTTTTTGTTAACTCAACTATTGCAGAACTGATTATCACAGGAAACATAGTTAATGTTTCAAAACCAATGATGTTGCAGATTAACAAAGACGCTCCTCCTCTCTTAGGGGAAATAGAAGGAAAAGAGATGGACTAAAATATTCTGATGCTATGAATTAAAAAAGATAGTGTTTTGCTTGTGTATTAAAAAATAAGTATTAAAGCAACGTGGAGACAAATGAAATAGACAAGAAATCTTTGAATAATAATTATAAGGTGCCAAAGACAACTTAGAAAGCTTATAAATGTAATTTTCACTAGAGTTTATTGCTTTCTTATCTTTTAGCTCGCTAATTATAGTATTCCCCAGTACAACTGTTCTCGTTCCACCACAGTTTCTCTACTTCAGGACAGAGTGAAACTTGACATCAAAATGTATATAAAATCACCTGCTACAATATATGGAATATTTGACCACATTAGCACTGATCATCTGCTATGAAAAGTATTATCACAAATAATGTGTAAACTCCCCAGTATATCACCTCATGCATCTATGCTTAGCAGAGATAGCTACTGCCTAAGAAGACTATTTAACATGGGATTGAAGTTCCACGTCCACAAAACTCACAAGTATTTTAATAAACAGTGCTTGACAATTATTTCCCTTTTTCTCAGTGACTAAACACCCAGTAACTTCCTTTACTCATCATAAGTTGGAATAATATGGATAGCAACAATGCAAATGTGTAAAGGATTCTGAATTCCAGACGATGATGAGCTATGAAGATCTGTTTATGCCTGGATTTTCATTCAGCACAATTCATTAACTTCCATAGTTTAAACCCCAAAATTCATACAAACTATCCAAGGTCAGTACAGAAGATGTTTAAGTCCCCTTAGCTAAGCATTTCATTATGTCATTCACAGATGTCAATCACCTACCATAAGTTTATTACTTACTTTCCATCAACTTCTGGTCTTTTGCACACACAGTGAAACTTGCCACCAAAATCTATGTAAAGATCATCTTCCACAACATGGAATATTTGACCAATGGCAATTTTATCTTTGGCAGGCCCCATCTGAATTAAAGGAGAGCGTCTCAACATGGATGCAAAGGATTCTGATTTCTCTGAAAGAACCTAAAGACAAATAATAAAAAAGAAAAATTAAATGTTTCACAAAACATGCTGTCTGAAGGATTTAAATTAAACTTTCAACATACAAGAGGCTTCATCCACTGAATAGCAAGTAAAGATTTCACATGTTTGTCACATTTTTAGCAAGACTTCTAAGGAAGCACCTGGTACCTTTCTCCAACTCCAAACACTTATCACATTAAAGGTAAAGTTTTCGTTAATTCAGTCAAAGAAAAGCATAACAGTGTGCATCTCCTGCAAACATCTGTCAGTTCTACTACTGGTTAGGTAAGTTGCAATTTAAAAATACATCCCAAATGTAGGAGATAGTCCCAAATAGAACACTGCTCATCTCTTGACCAAACCTGAATTAGTAACCCTGCAGCTATTCATGCAAGTATTTAATTATGAATTATACTTAAGTCTTTATTTTAAAGAACAAAGCCATTTTTCAAAGGCAGCAGAAGCAGAAAGCATGCACAGGATGGATCTAACATTAAAAAAAAATTGAACCATTACTTCTCTAATTTTTCACTCTACAAAATCAAAGTAAATAAACAAAATGCCAGTTTTTTTCTCATAGAGCTTTGGGAAAATGCAAGAACATAAACCTTCCTGCTATGCTTCATGGAGTGAAAGATGTCTGTTCTGTAACCTGAGAAAACTTACCGTCACAGGCTTACCATCATATGCTGGGTGTAAAATATCCAGATATATTAAAGTGAGACTCAATCTCACACATACCATCTCTGATATCCTGAGTATTACCACTTTTTATGATTGTCACCTTTGAAATGCAATTAGTAAGAAAGCCCACTTGCTAGGAACAAATGAAGAGGGCGAAGCATTTTGAGAGAAACACATATCCAAAAGTGAATGTAGGGAAATAATTGTATAGATGGCTAAATAGATTTTAAAAATTAGAACCTATTAATTTTCCCCATATTAAGTATAAGTAATTGATAATAATTATTTTGTGCAAGATTTCAAACTGTTTTGGAACCAGCAGAATAATTAAACTGAATAATCAAGCAATTAAAGGTTCAGCGCTCTACTGGCTTCAACAACACACTTTCCCATTGCTTCAAGTGGATGCTGAAATTCCATCTACATTTTATATGAATAGAGAATAATACCATCATTTTGCACTTGTACTTTTGGAAACTTTTATTCTTAGAGAAGTCAAAACAAGAGACAGTTTTGAATTCCAGCTCTGCTGGAAGACATAAACAGCACAGATTGTTCTGACAGGACAAAGCCTCGGGAATTACAAGCTACAGACCTGACACCTGGTACATTTGCTGCTTCAGAAACAGGAACTGTTAAACGCAGCATCCCAAGGACAAGGGCTGAAAAATGTGCAACATGTGCATATGTGCACACAAACCACAAAAAGAAAGCATCAAGCCATGGTAAACCACAAACAGAGCAATAGGATCTTACATGGGAAAGCTACTATCATATAGGGTTCCAAACACAGCATTGTTTGAATTGCACTATGCATTCTAAATTCAAATACATGAAAGTTAATTATACAGGATGAATTTGTAAGTGCACCAAGAAAAAGATGCAAAATGCTGGAAACGGTAAGAGGACATATTTAAATGAGATGATCCACATCATCAAATGAACTGCCTTTTCTTGCATGTAGATCATTTGACCAAAGCCTGAACTAGCAGAGAGATCAAGAAAACTTTTAAGTTTGGTCTGAAGGAGATTTTCCTGTATTATTTACATAGATGTCATTAGCAATGACATCTGAACACACTGAGCAACACTGAGATTTTTTGCTAAGCAATCAATACAATTCACAGTAAGTGAGCACTTACATTCACTAAATGGCATTCACCTCATCCATGCTGCCTTCATACAATGGCACACCCAGTAGGGCTCTCTACACTAAAAAAATCTCACAGCAATTAATGAAGATTAATACACTAATATCTTATAGATTTCCTGTTTTCACCACCTAAAAATGGTCTATCCTACTTAATAACATCTCTCTTCTTTTTTTCCCAGCAAGAAAAAAATACAGATGTAAAAGTCTCCCATGTGCAAACTTGCTTGGGAAATAATCCCTGTACACAACAAATGCTATCTTTACACAGTGACAGATGTGCTCATTGCTTACTAGAAATAAATCAAAGTAAAATACAGATGATAATGTACAGAGAAATTTTTTGCCATTCTTCATTGTGGACAGTTTTCCAAGAAGCCACTGGGAATCTGTCAGAATTCTATCATGGGCTCACAAGTCTGCAGCATTCTCTATTCTGCATCCTGGAGAGGAACTTCTCAGGAGCACAAATTGCTGATTTATGTATAAAATAATCCTCAAGAAATGTCATTAGTTACTGCCATCAAGGACTCTTTTGTGGACATTCTAGAAATACAGTGAGATAAAATGCAGTATTTTCTGCTGGGGTGCGCTTTAAGTTCCCCCCCACTTATGGTTGCTCCCTCTCCCCCTCTTTACGTTAAATGGTCCGGCCTCCCTTCTCCTCCCGCTCCGTCTGCAGTCACCCCTCCCTGTACCCCATTGGTTCATTCCTGCCGGGTCCCTCCCCTGGCCCCTCCCCAGGCCTGTCCGTCACTCTGGGGCCCCTCCCCTTCACCCAGAGAGTTCTACCAGGGCCTCGGGTGATAGGCTGCTCCCCGGGGTCCCCTCCCTCCCTCTCACCCCATTGGACGTTTCCCCTGCCCGTCACCTCGGTTGCCACCCCAGCTGTTATCCCATTGGCTGACTGTTGTTCCTGCCCCTGGTTACCTCCCCCATATAAAAGACCGTGCACCCAGTGCTCGGGGCCTTCTGGGGCTCAGCTCCCTTCGAGCTACGGTTGTCTCCTAAGACTTCTAATAAACTCGGAACGTGGATACCCCCGAAAGGCCCGCTCCTCGCTTTTGTCATTGTCATCACGCGCCTCATCCTGTCTGGCGGCTTCAGGCCCACAGGCCATAGTTCTTGCCCGCAGTGGCATGTGAACGTGGCCCTTGCTGCCTGCAGTGCCAAAGGTACTGGGCTGCCAGACACTTTGGGAAGGCACCGTGACAATTTTCTCCCATTTTCTGCATAACCTACAGCAGATCTCATTAAAGAGTAATTTATCTCAAGCATTTAAAAAGATTTAATGACCTTTTTAGTGCTTTCCCCTACAACTTCTAAATCTCCTTAACTGGATTCTCGACAGTAGCATTACAGAAAAACAGTAAAACTGTACAGTAACAGGGCAACACACTTTATTAAGCACTCTACTTTTCTGATTGCCAAGGAGTGTTGGCCATGCAGTTCTGATAGATGATGCACCGATAACATGTCAAGTCGCAAAAAACCTGGAGATTGTTAAAAATTCAGAAGCACAAATGGTACATTCTTTTCAAGTACCTGAAGTATGAAGGCTTTTTTTTTACCCTCCTCCTTCTTAAATGCTAAATCTGTTTAATTTTCCTTCTAATTTCTGAATTTTAAAGTGATGTTTGTAGATATTTAGATACCAATCACTTTCAGCATGCATAGTTCAATGAAAAAGTAGCAGCTCTTTCAGCAACAGAACTCTCCAAGATGATACATATTAACCACAGAGTGGTAAAAGTCATAGACTAAAACCCCAGTAGGATCCAAACAAAAGAAGTAACTCCAATGGAGGAATGCAACATACTATTTGTGGAGCACAGCCTATGACTGTACAAGCAGGGTGGCCCTATCCCACCCACTAAGCAAAACATCTGAAAACTCAGGCTATGTGTTTTATGTCTGCTTGCAAAGGCAAGTCGAACGCACACTGGAATGTGAGAGATACGGATGAGAAGAGATGGGAGATTGATAATCTGATTGATAAAATTAAGGGGTGAATGACATAGGAACACCAAGCAGCATGCAAAGAACACAACCCTCTGCAACTATCAAATTGGTTTTCCTCAGCATTGTCATCCCTAGCTAGACAGACCTTTAAAGTTAATTACACAAAACAACAAAATGGAAAAACCAACTTGCAGTAATAAGTTAGTGTGAATCCTCAATAGGCCCCAACAGCTTGGATATCCAAAACAGGACTAGAAATGGCCTTGAGCAACCTCAGCTATGTTTATCCTGCTTGGAACAAAGGGTTTGAACAGATCCTGAGATCACTTTCAACATGTACTATTTTACTTTGGAAAGGTGACTGGAGCCTGCTATAAGGAATATTAAAACAAAACCCAGTATATTAAGCTACCCATTGAACAAGAACATATTGATAAGGCATTTATTTCAACAAGCAATCTAAAAAATTCTACTATCTACTAACCCAGCAAACCTTTATTTAAAATACCTTATAACTATTGGAAGTGTGCACTGTTGCTTAGATATAAACCTAAATCCCAGGATTTTTTTAAATGTCAAAGGCATTATTAGGGTAACAGGTCATAGAGATTCATGCAGTTTATTTACCAAATTTCTCTCTTTTACTACTTTTTTACTCGAATGCAACAAGCTGTATTTAAGTCAGAACTCCATTATGCAGGAGAATATCACCTTAAAGACAGCAGGACCAACTCAGACACTTTACCACAACATCTGATATCCAACAGTTAATGGCCTTCCATCCAGAAGCAGCTCAAGAAGCATTGCTAACTTGAGAACTCTCCTGAATTCATCAAAGAATAACCATCAAGCTTTGTTTTCACCAACACTGTTTCCCTGACACTGAGGTTATCCCAAGAAACAGCACTGAGGAGCTGTTTCACACACAACAACACTCATCAGGAGTGCGAAGTGGACTGACATGACTAGAGTGACTGAAATTTTGATATATAAGCATACAAGCAATTACATCTCAAAGTGCCTTCTTTAGGTGCTGCCTTCTTTTTATGCATTCAGCTATTTGTTCTAATGCTGATGAGTCCTTCTTGAGAAGCTCCATGTATTTTATTCTCCTCTCAGAATATAACCGCTCAAATTTTAGGTATCATGTCTTTAACTCATCTCAGCTCTCAGTCTCCCCTGGACCAAATAAGTTCATGTAACT